TATTAAGTATGCATAGGATTTTTTTTAAATCAAATCACATAAAAATCATACTTTCTCTTTGATTTACTCTTTTACAAATAGTTGCTTTTAATTTCAAATTTATTTTTTTCTAATATAATTCTTCATAACAAGGGACTATTTAAAATTAAAAATTTTAAAATACACAATTTAGTCTCCTTCTTTGGTGACATGTAAAAACAATTTAGTCTCCTTCTTTGGTGACATGTAAAAAAGCAATTCGTATCAAAATCCCCACTTCATATTTGGCATTACTCTCAATGTTAGATATTTTGAAATTCATAAGTATGCATAAATATTGTGGGAATGCACTATTAGAATGGTTCATAAGAGAACAAAATGTCTGTATAAAATTATCATAAAGAGAAAAATTAAGGGGACAAGTCCGAATGAAATGATCAACTATATAAAGAGAGATCATATTGATCCCTTCCTTTTCTCATTAGAAAAAAATTATGATGTAAGAAAAACACAATTATGATCTTTTGTGATTGTATTTGATAATGTTAAATATGCATTGAAAAGTGATGATTATTGGACAATAAACAACAAGTTATGGTGTTAAAATAATGTTAGATAGATGATAATAAATAACTCATAATAATTGGCCAAAGATAATAGAAAGACAATAGTTAGATAATGATAGTTGTTAGCGGCGATCATTGGTGTCAATCATCTAGCAAGACTCTAAAGTTATTTAAATCTCTGAGCTCTCTCTTGTTTAGTCCATGTCCCCTTTCATGTGAATAATATGGTCTATTTATAGCTTTTAATTGTATGTTGATAAGTTTTTTCAAAATCTTAAATCACTCTATCAATGATTCATGTTAATTTAAGTGTCTAATGATCTCAAATTTAAGTAATCTTAAGCATAAAGTATGAAATCCATTTTAACATTTTTATTCTCGTCTTTTTCGAATGATGCTTGAAGTCTGAGCTTGAACTCAACCATGACTTCAATTCTCATTTTAATTTCCTCAATCGATTTATAGTCATTTCTAAGTTTCATCCTTTATAGACAAGTGATATTTCAAGGCGGTCATCAAATCTTCAATCTTGACTCATATGACACTCTAAGTATCGACACAAAATTGAAGTGAGATCCTTCCCTTAATGAAAGCTCTTATTACTTTTTCCATTGGTTCAAATTCTCAAATTCTTCTATTTTTTCTCTCTAGTTTAATCAATAGCATCAATAACTCCTTAATAGGTGAATCATGGACTACTAGTGAGAAACATGTCTTTACGTCATAAATTTATGACGATTAATGTTCAAAATAACATCAAGTATCTAATACAACCCACTACAGAAGATACATAGGCCAAGACTATAAGAAACCTTAAAGACCTCTAATCCCATCAATAAAGGGTTTATACTAAAGTAGATCAAAGCTTAGTCAAAATCACCACTCTAACTAATAAAGGCTTTTTTCCCTTCACTGAGGGAGAATTTAAATGTGTGTATCCAAGGTTCACCATTTGTGTTTATCATTTTAATCACATTTGTCTTACTTTTTAATGTCACCTTAGCTTCATTAATTGATACACTTTCCCATGGAGAAAAAAAATATGTTGATCTCATAGGAGGAAACCAATTTTATAGGAAGAACTCTTCTCAAAGAGGCTCAACATCAACACATAGTTTTTGACATCATTCTAGTTTGAAATCTTTAAGGTAGTCATCACCATTGCTACTTTGTAGTTGAAGGTGCACCAAATATTTTTTTTAAGATAATCATCTTATAGATGAATTTCTCCTCATCAATATTAAAAACTCATTTCATATATTTAGTATATGGCTCTCCAAAATGGCATTCCCTTTCATATCTAATCATTAAGGAATATATTGAAATCATAATGTGTCCTAAAGTTCACATTAATATTTGTAGGTAATTCTCTTATAATTTTGTAAATTAAAATATGAAAAAGTTGTTATGATTTAGTTGAGCTCACAAACTAATAACAAAATTTAAAATTAAAACTTCAAAAAACTAAATTGGTGCTCAAGAAGGGAACAATCCTAACAACTTCAAGAGTCACTTTTTTTATGAATAAAGTTGATAACATGAATCATGGCCTTCATCTCCATGAATTATGCATATTTGTTTATATAGATGTTTGGTTATAAAATCTTACATTTAAGGATTGTCGGCAGTTTCATCTTGATCAAAAACCAAGTTGTTGAATAGATAAATAAACATTTAATCCTCCAATCATTCACCTATATTTCCAAACTAATAGCATTTATGAATTTCAAAGAAAATAATACAAAAGTTTCGTTAAAACCCATGATAGTAAATATGGGCCAAATGAACATGGCCTTCAACATTTGAAGAAAGATAATAGACGTTAAAGGAGTGGTGAAGAAGCTCTATGATCATTTAGATGTGGCTCCTCTTCTAAAGACTTCACACCCTTATTTTTCATAGAGAAACTAAATCTTTAATTACCTTTGGAACAATATTCTAGACTATCACCCAAGGAAGCAAATATTACTAAAATGGAAAGAGAAGACACAGAAAGAAGGGGGAAGAAGAAGTTGAAACACAATGGAAGCTCAAGATATTGGAAATCCAAGAATGCTCAAGATATAAGGGTGTGTAATAAAAAACAGGCTTAAAAGTAAATCCTATCTATAGGAAAATAATAGAAGGCCTCCACTACCTCACACTATTTCATGTGATCATTCCAATAAGATTACCCATCAAATCCTAATATCTCCTTGATTTCTTTATTTCGTCAAGTATCCACTATATAAGACCAAACAACACAAAAACTTTAATTTGTTCCACACTAGCAAGAACCAACTTCCCAATTCAGGTGGACAGCCCAATAAAGAATAACTACCCAACAAATGAATGATGTCAATTGAAGCTAACTTCTTCTAAAAGTGTAACTACAACCTAAACTTGACTTCATAATTGTGAAGTTGAGTTCAAGAATAAATAATGAACATTAAGATATAAATTTGTCATCATAACAAATTTACAAATTAGATTTTATTTGGATAAAACTTTCATTGCATTGAAGTTCAAGGCAAAGAAAATACAAAAAAAATTTGAAAATACGAAAACTAAAAATTAATTCAAAAGAAAAAACTTTCCTAATATTTTTTTTCCTCATAAATTCTCTAGAAGAACTTAAAGAAGTTATAGCATCATTGAACTCATCATATGACAACATCACAACTCCTAACAAATTATGGAATCTTAGCTCAAGAACCACTTCTCTAAGAATGTTCATACTCTAGTTTTACTGGAACATTGCTAGAAAATAACATAGAATCATTAAGTAAGCTTCTATGAACTTCCACATTAAAATAATAACCATCGTCAACTTATCCATTAGTAGCTAAACTTCTTGAATTAGCTCATGGAGCAGCTCAACAGGGTGAAAACAACACAATTTAATTTTGATTTCAAATGCATTTATATGCAACCTCTTGATTCTTCCAACACCCTCAAGCTCAATTGTTAGTTTCTTATTCTCTCCTTTTCAACTTCAATGTCAACTCGAAAGTTAGTCATCTGGTTCTCCAGTAATTGAATCTCTACAAGTAGCTCTTTAAATCTACTCATTGCTACTGCCGTCCATGGCTCCCTTTAAATGACTTTAAGGCATAAAAATTCATATCATTACCTACTACTCCCAAAAATAAGGACTTCGGATTTTTCTTCATTAAATGTCACAACTGTCAAGGGAGATCGTTGCTCATTGACATCCCCAACAATTTTAACGCAATGGTCAATTCCCACAAATGTATCCATTTAACTTATTGGTAAATTAATCATAGTAGCACCTTCATTATCATAGATTTCTATAACAAAAAAAACCCTTTTAAACGTGGAGATTCCTACAACAACTAATCACTCAATTTTTATTGGTAAATTAATCATAGTAGCACCTTCATTATTATAGATTTCTATAGCAAAAAAAAAAACCCTTTTAAACTTGGAGATTCCTACAACAACTAATCACTCAATTAGAAATCATTTTCTTAATCACCTTTTATTTTTTTCATTATTTCATTTTTTATATCTTCCAAGGGAAACCACAAAACATAAAGACCCCCTACAACCATCATATCTATATTTGGGCAGACTCTTTGGACCCATGCCTTAACTTATCAGATACATTAGAGCTATAACTGAAAATCAAATAGCTATGATAAAAGTTAAACTAATGAAATCTTTGAAATTAACTTCAAATTTTTTAATTGATGAAAAGACTAATATTTATTGAACATTCAAAGGCCTCACAAAGGAATGCCAAAGACTATATCTAGCATATCTAGGATTTTGGTTCTTTATAATCATTTTTTTTATTTATCTTTACTGTACAAAAGAGCAAAAAAATCCATGAACTTATATATTAACACTCATGTGTCAAGTTAATAAATTTATCATGAAAATCTATACTAATTGGGACAAAAATCAAATAAAACTTAAGAGAAACCTTTCTGCTTGCAAGAAAATAAACTACCCATGCTAATATTGCAAATACATTGTCTCCTGCAGCAAGTTTAAATCAGAATATCATCATCATATGTTTTTCATTTCTAACAGCTTATCATGATCATATGTGCACTGCAACTGCAACGAATTAAACAAGCAAAAATTACAAAAATAAGAATCAAATCCCGAAATGCATCATGATATTTCCTAAGCAAAACAATTTTATCCAAAAAATATATATATTTGCATGCAATAACTATCATCATATTAAAAAAAAAATCTGATTTTGATGAAAAAGCATTAATCATATAAGCACTAAGAAGACAAAGAAATCAACGTAGCACAATTGATTTTTCTCTGCTCATGCAGCTGAGATGTTATTAGCTGCTCTTACTTCATTCTCATATCAAAGCAAAAACAAATTTTTAAGAAAATATATAAAAATTTACGAAATAAAATCCACTAAATGAAGAAAAGCAGTAGGATTAAGATGCTAGAAAATTATTTTCATGAATTTTTTTTCTCATTTTAAGCATGCATTTATCTTCCAAAAATATAATCTTTATAGCCTCACTCACCACCTCCATTCCCCGCAGAACCATGCATGCGTGAGAAGCAGAGAAACAAACTACAGCGAACGAAATACCGCCACGTGTACAATCGAAATGGGTCTCAGTGCGGTACGTTGCAGCGCAGGAACTATTCACATCTGGAGCCAACGAGCCAGCTGGGTAGGGTTAACGACACCAGGAATATGGACTCCATCCGTCTTAAGCAGATACGCCACCTCCTCATACGCCTTAGCGATCCGCGCTGAGCCGGACCGGTCGATCTCGACTGACCCGGATTGGCCCGAACCGCCACCCGGTTCGGATCGCCCGGGGGGCCACATCTTTCCGAACAACGTACCCTTGGTGAGGAACTCGTGGGCTAAGTACCCGGCGAGCAGCCGGTTCGTCGCCGGGGAAGAATCCCCGGCAGCCGGTTCGGTTTTCGCCGCCGCAACAGTAGCCGTCGGATCTCTTTCCTTCCGCCAAAGGAAAGACTGGACGTGACCCGACACCTCCCGCCACGTCAGCAAGAAGTTTTAAAATTGTTTGGAATAAAAAAAATCAGGAAAACCAAAAACGTAAAATTGACGAAATTGAAGGGCAGATTTGGAAACTAGATATTAAAATTAAAAAAAAAAGGGGGATTTTGAAGAGAATGCGAGGTCGATCGCATAGGGAGGGGAGCACGAGAAAAAAATCGCAGAAAACAGCGAGATCGGCGGCGCGGCGGCGTACGGGAGGCGGCGGCCGGCGGAGCACGGCGAGATAGAAAATAGATGGGTTTTAGATAGGAGAAGATAGAGAGCAAAAGAACCAAAAAGCTTAGAGATTTGGGGCATAGAAGAAAGAGAGATTATTATAGACCGTCGCCGGACTATATAAGGTGTGGTCTACGTTATATAACCATACTATCCACAAATATTACGAGATTGCCACCGCACGAGTCAAAAATGCCCCTGGTTTCTAATATCAATTGGTGTAGGGTAGATGGGCATGTTCGTCATTTGTTATTATAGAAATTATAGATAACTGTAAACTCTGCGCGGTAAAGAAAAGGACAAGCGAAACAATTAATAGAGTGAGGGTACTTTTGTCTTTTTAAAGGGAGAGCGATGTTGCTTGTGGGGGCAATTTAGTTTACTGTCATCCGTCTGATGAAGAAAGGACGGCTGATTGCGGTGGGGTAGGCACAATCTCCTAAAGAAGTAAGCTATGGCATTTTCGTGATTAATGAAAGGAATAGGGGTGAAAGGAAACGAGGGAAGGGGGTTAAACTGGGAAAATAGGAAGAAGAATCTTGTTAGTGGTCCACCAAGAACGCATTCGGAGTTCAATGGCCAGGATTGATCCACGTGGCGTCAGATGATGGAGCGGCGAATAGGAGTGTGTTAATAGGTGGGAAACATATTTCGTGCCGGTTTGGTGAGGCCTTCATGGGAAGGTAATAGGAAATATTTTCGTGGACCGGAACGATCGGTCCAGGGGTTAAGAATGTCGGTCCGGTTCACGAAAAATGTATAGGAAGGTAGTGAGCAACGATCTGGACCGTCTGATTATTGATAAAGTGATCCAATGGATGAGTTGATGCTAGGTTAGTAACCGAGTAATCGACTTCTTAAGTATACGGATACGAGACATTGGATCATGCTCATATTTAGGAGAAATTAATATTATGTCCAGTACATTGGATATGTTGATGGCGATGTGAATCACACCACGTTGTGCGGCATGGTGTGATCCACATTGTCATCTGCAAGTCCGTTGTCCACTTGTAATATTTTCTCCATTTTTAAGACTCTTTTCAAGTCTCAGTTTAAAAAAAAAGTATATTACGTTCAGACGTTCGCACGTCCGCACACTTCCTCACGTCCGGACGGCCGCCGATGTGCATGGCGATGGCGCCTGGCAATTGACCGTTCGGACGTGCGGTGGCCGGACGTAAATTTTCTCCAGTTTACAAGGATGAAACTAGTATTCTTTTTTAAAGTCAACAAATTTATCAAAACTTAGTATAATAATCAATTCTTATCGTTGACAAAATTATTAACATTCATCACCAACTACAAGCAGTATGAAAGATAAATTTTTTAATAGCGTGGGCACAAACTATTTTCTTCAAATTTTTCCTCCTCTTTTCATCCAAGCATGAGATTGGAATATTATATATA